ATGCATTCAGCTGCGACATCCTGTGAGGGATGGCCGTTCTTACTGGACTGGGAGACCGAGGGCTTGTAGCGTTTGGTTGAGGAAATACCGGGCCAGTACGCCTCATCTCCCCGAAAAGACCGCGGGGCCTCTCGGACTGTGCCTGGGATGTAGAGAACGCGTTTCCCGCAATGCCACCAAAGGAGCTTTGCGGCGTATACCCAGGGGTTGCTGTGAGGCCAGTCGATGAAGGACTCAAGTCTTTGCCTACAATGATACCACTGCCCTCGGACTCGACATCATCTTCAAGATCGCTGTCACTTCCGTCTTCTGGCACCGCAGGGATCGTCGACGGACCTCGGGACGTAGCTTTGGAGATAAAGTCTGGAGGTAGGGGCGCATCCTCTTCGACGGAGCTTACGGGAGAACTATCTGACGAGCCCTCCGACGAACCATTCTGTTCCGAACTTGCTGGGTGCGGCCGTGGCGTGGCCATAGAGTCTGCAGGAAGCGGCGAGGTTTCAGGGACACGGTTCTGCGCCGACTTGGGCGTGGTGGTGAAGTCGGGGGGAAGTGGTGCACTGTCTCCCTTGAAAACAGACTTACTGCTACCGTCCGTATTGGTCCCAGATGAAGAATCTCCGATGGGGTAGGCATTCCTGCTGGTTGACTCTGGGGGCAGCGGTGCATCTTCCTCGACTTTGATCTGTGGGGGCTTGCTCCCAAAGATGGAAGACGACGGCTGGGGTGTCTTGAACAAATTGCCACTGCTGCTGGTTGTGGTGGAAGAGAAGCCGGCAAAGATGCTGCTCTTAGGAGCCGTTGCAGGGGTCTCGGAGGGAACGAATCGATTGGGCGCAGGTGTTGTAGTAGGCGTAGTCGATTGAAGCTCAGGGGGGCTGAATGGAGACTTGGGTGGTTCGGCAACATCATCATTTTCACGGCCTGCGGGAGACTTTTGCGAAGCAGACTGTGAGTTGGCGATACTGAACGGATTGCTCTGTTGCCCAGACTTGACGCCGTTGCCAACACTGAACGGCGATTTGCTTGCTTCAGAAGCTGTGCTACCGCCAAGGCTGAATGGTGATTGTTTCTGCTCACCGCCGAGGGTGAACGGCGACTTCTTTTGCCCACCGCCAAGGCTGAATGGCGACTTGGATGTTTCGCCCGGAGAGGTGCCGCCGAGGCTGACTTGTGACTTCTGCTGTGTACTGCCAGTGCTGAAAATTGACTTGCTTTGGCTGGGCTGGGTGCTTCCTAGGCTGAATATCGACTTGGCTGGCTCTGTTTGGTTATTGCTCATGCTGAATGGCGACTTGGTCGGCCGCTGAGGCTCAGCATTCGCTGTACCAAATGGTGATTTGACTGGTTGCTGAGCCTCAATGCCGGCCGTGCTAAAGGGTGACCTTGTTGTTGTCTGGGAGGTCTGAGGTGTCGCCTGGGATGTCGACTGCGCACTTGACGAAGTTTGTTTGGCGGCGTCACCAAGAGCGGCACCGAAACCATTCCCAAACAAAGAGGAGCCACTCGGGGTTTGCTTCTCGTCATCATCTTTCTGCGACGGATCGGGCTTGAAAGAGCTTTGTAGCTTGAAAGGCTCCGACTTCTGGACAAGACTTGTACTGTTTGTGTTGGGAGCGGGGAAGGCAGTATCAGCTTTTGTTGATGAGGCAAAGGGGGAACCAGATGCAGGCTTGTTGCTCGCAAAGATGCTTCCACCATTGTTGGTGCTGGCCCCGGCCGAGGCGAACCCACTCGATCCGGCAAAACTGGCGAAACCTCCTGAAGCTGCCGCAGAAGGCCCGTTTGTATTTGTGTTGCTGCCAAAGGTGCCCTTGTTCGCAAACCCAGACTGTCCGAAAGCAGGAGAGCCCGAAGCTGCAGCACCTCCAGCGCTGGCGGACGTGCCCCAGGGCGAGCTCTTCGCACCAAGTTGAGCCGACTGGCCGAAACCGATGGCACTCGTCTGGCCAAAGGCAGGCGTGGAAGAAGAAGGACCGCTTCCAAAGGAGCTACTGCCGAATGCTGGTGTAGCTTGAGCTTGGGCAGCGGGTGCTGAGTTCTGCGACGTACCCCATGGAGATGGCTTTGATCCAAGCGCAGACGCACCCCCAAAGGCGGGGGCGGGAGACCCAAAGGCAGGCGTGTTGCTGGAGCCGAAAGCAGAAGGAGTAGTAGTAGATGTGGTCGCGAACGCAGGCGGCACCACAGTCACTGCAGGCGCGGATACAGGCGCCGAACTGGCTTTGGTTACAGGAGTTTCACCTGTGCCAATGCCGGGGTACGAAGTTCCGTGTCTGATGGAATCTTCATACACAACCCACCATGAGCAAAGAACACCCTCGTTGTTGAGAACCCAGTACCCAGGCAGCGGGCCAGGCGAGTCCTCAATTTCCTCATCGGCCGGCAGAGGTTTGTATACCTTTTCTTTACTGGACAGGTCCAGGCTGACACCGATGGGCACCGTGTTATCAAATGATTCGCTCATGGGTAATTGAGCTCGCTTCGAGTCGTCAAGAAGCTCAGTAGTGGTGAAAACGTTGGTGATTGCATCGGCTGGCTTGTCCGGAGTCAAGGCCTTTTTTGACCTGCTGAGAAGGCCGATATCGGGCGACGCTGTGGAAGAGACGATAAGGAGGTCCTGCAGGTCTGGCGGGAAGTCCTTCAACCTGAGGATAGAGTGATGTGGCGCCTTATCAGCGCCGAACGGATCGACAGGATCGGTGAGCTTCTGGAAGGTGAAAGATGAAGGGGGCTGCCTGTTGATGATGTGATATGTTGACGACGGAGGTGTTTCAGTCGCATTGGTGTGAATAACAAGCAGAACGTGGTTCTCAAGCCAGGTGAGGGACGCAACTACCGGAAGGTTAGCGCGACGAGTAAACCTTCAAGTGTTCATCAATAACATACCATGAGCATTGGAGACACTGGGCGGTTTAGGAATCTCGGCCTTGGCCTCTCCTTCTGGAGTCATCTGATGGATTGTCCCATCTGCCAAGCCGGCAACTAGTTGTTTACCCTTCGTACTCCAACTGATGCAGCTGACTTGTGTCTTAAGCGGGTTGCTGATCTGACGCTCCTTCAAGTTTGCCATGTGCAAGCCGCCGTTCGTGGTGACAATGGCGCAAAGCTCCGCCTTTTCAGGTGTAGGGTTCGGGACGAGAGCGCGCAGTGTCTCGCCATTCGTCGAAAGCTCAAACGCCGTTTGCGTATTGCCTCGGAGAAGAGATTGGACTTCATAAACGGCCAAGCCACCGCCACTCTCAGCAGAGAGAATCAGATATGTTTCGTCCGCGGTAAATGCCAGTTGGGAAACACGCATAGACAAGGGAAGTTTGAGCTGGGGCTCAAATAACCGGACGTCTGAATCGCTCTGCTTCTCTCCATCGAAGGCTTTACGCACTGAATCGGTTGTTGCGACTATGATGCTGTCCGGACTGGCAGCTGCGACAAGGCCTTTTTGCGCCGCGATGGCAAGAAGGGATGCTGTATCGGTAGGAGGGGTGGACCAGGGGGGTGTCAGTTGCAGCTTCGCATCGCCGGCAATGGACTTAAATCCTAGAACCTAAAGAAGCTGTTAATTTCCCTACCGTGGCAGTGATAGAAGCAGCGTGCCGACTAACCTCCGTCTGGATGAGCTCCAGTTCGGGCCCTTGGGTAACACCACCGGGGGAAGCAGCGCTACCCACGGGAGCGCTGCCCTGGTTCCCGAAGCTGCTAAAAGCCATGATCGTTGCTAGGTAGCCGGCGGATTGAGGCCTGGCGAGACCCTTAGCATTCGGGGAGAGGTTAATGGATATCGTTTTGACAAGCGCGTTGATGTAATGAGGTGGTGTTTTTTGTTCAGACCGTTGGCCTGTGCACCATCGACGTGAGAAGGCAACAGCGCGCTCCTGGTTGGTCAGAGGAAGCGCTTGTGTCAAGGATCTTTAGAAGGACATGAAAACACGAGGAAACTTGCGCAAGGAATAGTGTATTGTGTCAGACAGATTGGAGGTTGGGAGGTCATATGAATAGCAAGAAAGACTTGTGTTTCCTAATAAGGTTCCCTTCGAAATGCTCAGAGTCGCACTTGGCCAAGGTAAGATTTCGAGCTCTGTATGTTATCACGTGTAGAAGCTTGGGCCACTTCTACCGTTGGCCCCACTACCACCAATCAATGCTCTCGAACCGATTAGACGTGTCAGGGGGCCTTGCATGAGTGAGCTGGAGCTCCAGGCGACCGCGCCTGAAGGCAGGAAGGCAGCTTTTGAGCCTCGTCATCCAACGCTGCCTCTCCCCGACGACCGCCCTCAACGCATATACGCCATCCACGACACACTCAATCCATCCGCGAGACGAAACGACGCGCGGGTTCCTCTCAAACTTCCAGCAAATAAAAGACAGACCGAGCGGGAGACACCGCAATTGCCATCATGCCTGGCTTCGACTTCACAAACTACAACCCGCAATGCGGCCCTCCACGCCCGCGGCGTGTCCCTGCCCAAGGCGACAAGCACAGGAACGACCATCGTGGGATGCATATTTGACGGAGGTGTTGTCGTGAGTCCCCCGTGACACCCTCTCTCGCTGTTACCTGATTCAGTCGTCTTCGACTCTCCTTCTTCTCGTTCGGCTCCCAGGCGTCGCTCAGTATAGTCGCTGATCCCCCTCCACCAGATCGCCGCCGATACAAGAGCAACTTCAGGGCCCATCGTCGCCGACAAGAATTGTGAAAAGCTTCACTACATTGCTCCTCAAATTTTGGTGCGCCGGCCCCGGCACCGCCCGCTTGACACCGAGTTCACCACGGCCATCATTTTCGTCGAACCTCGAACTCCACGCCCTTCTCCACAGGCCGAAAACCCCGC